TCTGCCACTGTTGTAATTTTAGAAGAGAGTGCACCAGTAGACTCCCTTATTAGTCTGACTTAGCAAGATTTTCCCCCCACATTTTTATTCCATTATTTCACTAACATTCTACTGTGATGCCTCGTGGTGTATGGAGGTGACCCTGTGTTACTGAAGGCTACGCTAATGGATCACCAACTCTGGAAGGGTCTGCCAAACCGTAAAAGCTTTGGATATGAACCTAAGGAAGGCCTGCCTGTTTATTGTCCAATGACCAGCATGTCTAAGTTTAGAGAAACTAATAGTTAACTGACCATTGTGACGAATTTCTCAGCCATAGCACTTTCAACTACCAGAGAGTTGTGGTAGCACTCATTTTAGAGTTAAAGGACCTGGGTTCAAATCCAGATAACTAAGGGGCATGGTGGATAGCCTACTGGACCGGGGATCAGCAAGACTTAAGTACAAACCCTGCCTTAGCTACACACTAACTGTATGACTCTGGACAAGTCACTTAACCTCCCTTATTAAGCCTTATTTTTGACAACTGTAAAATGGGGATAAAAATATCCCCTCCCTCTCAGGGTTGTTGTGAGATGATATTCATAAAGCACCTTGTGAACCTTAAAGCACTATATAAATGATAAATGTTAGCTCTTCAGTCATTTTTTCAGTCATGTCCAAATCTTCATGACTCCATTTGGGGTTTTCTTGGCAGATACTGGGGTGGTTTGCCATTTCCTTCTCCAGATCATTTTACAGACGAGGAACTGAGGCAAATAGGGTTAAGTGACTATAAGTGTCTGAGGCTGAATTTGAACTCATGTTCTCAGGACTCCAAGCCCAGTGCTCTATCCACTGTGCAACCTAGCTTCCCCTGGCATTACATTAATCATCTTCCTTAAATTGAACAACAAACATTTCAAGGGCACTTACCATTGAGTGTATGGTCACTTGAATATGCAGCCACTTTTCCTCTTTAATTTCAATCCTATCCTCCCCAGTCCTTCTTCCTCTTAGATAACTAGTATCTGCACGACTATTGTTTGTTTTAGATTGTAAGTTCTTTGAGGGCAGGTTTATTGTTACAAATTACTTTTGTAGGGTTCCTAAGAGAACTTGATACACTTGATAAATATTTTGACTCCAAAAAAACAGAATAAAATTGAGTTGAACTGAATGATACAGAGTTCTACATCTACGAGTTCTACATCTAGGATCTGATAAATTATAGAGGCATCATGGTCACTGTTGGTTGCAGAAATACCCAACAATGACAAAATTAAGTCTTTTTTTCTTCCACGAACAGTTTCCAATTTCAGTATCCTTCTTCCTTGTATTTTGAATACATGAATAATGAGATAGAAGATCTTTAGCTGAAGAAATTCTCTCATAACTTTGAAAGCTATCCAGTTTCTTTTTTAATCCGTAGTTTTAATTTCCAAAACCTGTCCCTTGAAACTAAAGCAATTTACCTTGGGGAGGAACTGAGATGCAAGGGTTCAACCTCTTCTGCTGAGGTGGCCCTATCTGAATTGTCTTGAAGTTACCCACTTTGACTCCACTGCTGATCTTCAGTGACCATCCCATCAATACGTTGCTACCTTGACGTACTTATAATAAAATCCCTTTAATTTAAAAAAAAAAAAAAGAAACTAAAGCAATTGCAGAAACAAAAGCATAGGCTGGCCTTGTTATCAAGGCCCATTGGATTTAGAAGGGAATGTTTCAAAGGTGCTATAGGGAGCAAAGATGGACTAGTCACATGGTAAGAGTGAGTGATAATTAGAGAGGCCAGAGTGTTCCACTAAAACCCTCCCAAAATGAGAATAAATGAAGGAAGGCTTCCAGCACATTGGATGGACCCTTTATACTGTAATTCTGGAAGAACATGAGCAAAAGTCTCCCGGAATGGCCGGACATGGATGGGTCACAATCTGCATCACTGGAATATCCAGAGGATGAGATGACAGATGCACTGAAGTATTTGAGTGGTAAGCAAACAGGCATATTTGGGGGGGTTTACAAAATATGGTAGGCTTGAGATGCAACAGTTAGGGCTCTGGCTGCATAGGCCTGAACAGCACTTTCAGCTTTTTGGAAATCCTTTTGTCTCTCATATTTCCACCTTTAGAGATGAAGCTTCTATCATGGTTCCTGGCAGGGTGTGTGTGTGTGTGTGTGTGTGTGTGTGTGTGTGTGCATTGGAGGTGAGATTGTAGCTGAAACTATCTGCTCACAAACAAGTTTGTAGATGCAGTCCCCTCATTTTAGGTCCTGAAACCATTTGTGGTTCAGCCTTAAAGATTTATAGCCTGGAGCCATTGTCAAAAAGGAGTTGAGTTCATATCTGTCCTCAGACGCTCACTAGCTGTATGAACTTGGGCAAGTCACTTAACTCTGCCTCGGTTTCCCCATCTGTAAAATGAGCTGGAGAAGGAAATGGAAAACCTCTCCAGTATCTTTGCCAAGAAAACCCCAAATGAGGTCATGAAAAGTTGGACACAACTGAAATGACTTAGCAACAACAGTCTCCTTTCCTGCTAACTGCATCCAGTAGCATTTACACTATAATAAAGTTTGTTCATTCATTCATTCAAATATGCCTTATTTCCTGAAATGTCACAACTATTGAAAAGGGTCTGGCCAAGACTGTGACTCAGGGGTTTAGTCATTTGTCTATTTTCTGAACCCATGCTCAGTACTTTGATTTGAAAACAGGTCTGTCTCAAATCCTTTTCCTAAAAGGATCAGAATAAGGCAGAGGACTTAGCTCTCACTCCCTAGATGAGAAGTATAAAGAGGTTCCAATGTATTTGCAAATGACTGTGTTTCTTCTGCATAAGGAACATAGAATTTAAATAATTATTAGATAGTAGATAGACAGACAGATGTATAGATGCATTGATAGATATCCTTTCCACATCTTATCTTTTCCCATCATGGTTTTTATATATTGAGGGTCAGCATAAAAAATTAAATGGGAATTTTTTTGAGAGTTTTACATAAGTCACAGATGACACGTGAAGGCCAGGAGACCCTATGACCAGATACTTAGCCCAAATTTCACAATAAAATACTGTAAACACCCCACAAGAAAAAAGAAGAAAAAAATCAGACTTTTTCTCTGGTATGAATGGAGGGCCAAAAAATTTTACGTGAATTTTCCACATTGTGGGAGCACTGTACACCTAACCTGCATGATGTGGAAAGGATAACTATAAACAGCTATAGTGCTGTGAGGCTTACGTAGTGCTTTGTATATATTATTCAATTTGATCCTTATAGAAATCCTGTGAGGCAGCTGATATTATTCCCATTTTATAGAGAAAAAAAAACAAGATAAGAGAGGTTAAGAGACTGGCCCAAGGTCACACAGCTAGGAAGTGACTGATTCAGAATTCCCAGACTTTCAAATCCAGGAGTGTCAGACCCTTGGCCTGAGCGCCTCATGCTACCCAAAGCCCTCCTGAGTACAGGCCAAACTTAAAATGTAATTAGGAAATATTTAACAAAGTAAGTAAAAATACAATAAAACATAGATAATGTTACATTTTAAAATTAAGTTAATATGCAACCTCCAGGGATCCTTATATATATGGATTAGGGGCCCCCATTTCTCTTTGCGTTTGACACCCCAGCTACATACTACATACAGGTGCACATTCAACTGATGGGTAACAGAACTGCTATAGTGTGATCTGAAATGGGGCCACCTAGAAGCAGAGTGAGCAGAAAAAATACACGCTGAAGGTCACACAGATGTAGAGCATCTCTACGTGTCCCTGTCTCTTTGCCGTCCTGGCCATCCCATCTTTTTCTTCCTAATTCTCTTGGTCTTCTTGTCTCTGTCCTATCTTTTATCAACCATATGAACTTTTTTCCTTTACTTTTTTTTAAAGTAAAGACTAAAAAAGCATGAAGTAGTGAACAGAGAGTTGGTCTCAGGTCTGGGAAAACCTGGGTTCAAGTTTCACCTCTAACGCATAATGTCAATATCTGTGACCCTGAGCAAGTCTCTGCCTCTCAGTGACACAGTCAACTCTCTAAGGTTATGAGAGAAGATGGATAGATAGATAGATAGATAGATAGATAGATAGATAGAGGAATAGTAATAGATACATGAATTGTGATAGATAGATAGAGGAATAGTAATAGATAGATGATAGAGGAATTGTAATAGAGGAATAGTGATAGATAGAGGAATAGTGATAGATAGATAGATAGATAGATAGATAGATAGATAGATAGATAGATAGATAGAGGAATAGTAATAGATGAATAGTGATAGATAGATAGATAGATGATAGATAGATAGATAGATAGAGGAATAGTAATAGATGATAGATAGATAGAGGAATTGTAATAGATAGCTAGAGGAATAGTGATAGGTAGAGGAATAGTGATAGATAGATGATGGATAGATAGATTGATAGATGATGAATAGTGATAGAAAAATATATGGATGAATAGAAATAGAAAATAGATATAGACAGATCATTTATTAAACACTTTCTAAGTTTCAGATACTGTGCTAAGTGTTGGAAATATAAATAATACCATGTTAGACAGTCCCTGCTGTCAAGTAATTACACTTTAATAGAGAAAGAGAAACCATAAAGGAGAGACAGAAATTGGGAAGAGAGGGAAAGCAAGGGGAGGAGAGGGGCTGGAGATGTCAGGAGAATGCTTGGGTGGCCTGGAATGGAGGGAGATAAGGCCAGAGCTGGCCTAGCATAGCTCCAGGGATGTTCCAGGGGCAGAGTCCAATTTCTTGGTGGGTAGGAGATGGAGGTGATGGCCATAGTTGATATGGCATGGCTGGAGATAGTAGCACTAGTCTGCATGACTGAGGGGAGTTTCTGCACTAAGAGTTCCTTCATCAGTGAAATCCCAAGTCCAGTCAAAGAAAGTGTGAGATATGGGGAAGAGAGATCCTGAGATCGTATTGCACTCTAAAGGCTTTTCTAACCTTCTCTAATTCTTCCCGGTTGGTTGTATTCTCTTCATGTTATTTCCAGGCATACTTGAAAGCCTCCGTCCTGGTCCAGGACTTCACAACATCAGCGGCTCTTGTGTTTCTGATGGACCGCTTCTTATATGGGCTTGATGCCTCTGGCAAACTCCTGCAGGTCGCCAAAAGTCTACACAAGCTGCATCCAACCATCCCAATTGCCCCACAGGTGGTCATCCGACAAGCCCGGATCTCAGTCAACACAGGTAAGGTCTCCCTCCAACCAGTCTCACCTATGTTTCTTGAGCCACGGCTGTGTCTTTAATTCCACTTCACTCAAAAGCCACTTGACTTTTGAGAAGGCACTTTGTCTGGTGAGGAAGATGGCACTTCTAAGATCCCAGTGTGTCATCGTTCAAGCATCTATCCCAGCCCCCACTCCCTCCCATGCCTGCCTCCATGCCCTTCCACCCACTCCTTGCCAGCACAAAAGCCCTGGCATAAAGGGTTTCAGAGCCAACCGCAGTAGAGAAAATTGTGAAAGGGTGTGGAAAATACTAATTGGAGCTTTTGTCTCCTAACAAATCTGTCCTGCTGCTTTCAAACAGGGGTATCTGAATTGCTATACTTCGGACCAAGAGACTTTAAAAAGCAAATTAGAATTCTAGCATTTTCTCTGAGTTCTCCCTGTCTCTTTTCTATAGGGTCACTTGACTATGTCAACAATGCAACTGACAGGTTCCCTGAAGTAATTTGATATTTTCACCACTCATGGGGTATTGGTTCTACCTGAAGATGCTTTGAAGTACTGGGGTGGGGAGGCGAGAGGGGGTTCTCCCGTGTTACTTCTTAAGCCAAACTAAAAATGAGACAGACCTGTTTAGCTTGAGGTGTGGGGTGGGAGGAGGGAGGTCAATTATTTAATTTTTTATTGGTGGCTTCTAAATCTGAAATTATTTAAATTGCTTCTGATTTATTTTGAAGTGTGCTGCATTATTTTCATTCCCAAGAACAGAAACACAAGGGTCACCTAAAAAATGAACAAAAGGCAAACTACCTTCATTGGAAGGAACGAAAAAAGGAAACAAGCATTTATTAAGCACCTACTATGTGCCAGGTGCTGTGTTAAAGGCTTTACAAATATTATCTCATTCGATCCTTCACAACAGACCTGGGAAGTAGTTGTGTTGCTCAAACCAGAGGGGTCAGGGAAGATGGGATGGCAGTAACAATGGATTCCATGGAACCAGTTAGACTTCAGGGAACCAATTTCATTTATATTTGAATTCTTACAAGAGTAGCATGGGCAGCCTAGTTATTGATGAGTAAGAGCCAGAGTCATTTTATTTTAATACCTACCTACAGTAGGTGTTTATTGTTATTCAGTTGTTTCAGTCATGTCTGATTCTTCATGATCCCATTTGGGGTTTTCTTGGCAAAGATACTGGAGTGGTGTGCCATTTCCTTCTCCAGCTCATTTTACAGATGAGGAAACTGAGTCAGGTTAAGTGACTTGCCCAGGGTCACACAGCTAAGAAGTGTCTGAGATCAGATTTGAACTCAAGGCTTCCTGACTCCAGGTCCATCACTCTATCCACTGTGCCACCCAGCTGCTTCAATAAATAAGCATTGACTGAACATTTCCTCTGCGCCTGGTACTAAGTGCTGGGGATACAAAGAAAGGAAAAATGTTGACCCTTCCCTTGGAGACCTCAATTACTCAAATATGACTTTATTGGAAAATAACAGAAAGCTCTTTTCTAGAATCCAGCTAATACTTTCAGTGCAGTGAAGGGGCGGCAGAAGTGAAGAAGAATTTATTGAGTACCTACTGTGTGCCTGGTACTCTGCTAAGTGCTCTACAAATATTATCTCATTTGAGCCTCACAACAACACAAAGAGGTAGGAGCTATTATTATTCCCATTTTACAGATGAGGAAACTGAGAAGACAGAAGTTAAGTGAGTTGCCCAGGTCATTCCCCAGCTAATAAGTATCAAAGGCAGAATTTGAACCCAGGTCTTTTTTTAAAAATAAATTTATTTATTTTTTCAACATTCACTTTTATAAGATTTTAAGTTCTAAATCTTTCCCCTTCTGTCCTCTCCCCCCTCCCCAAGATGGCATGCAGTCTGATGTAGGCTATGATACGTGTACAATCATATTAAACATATTTCCACATTAGTCATGTTGTAAAGGAAGAATCAGAACAAAGGGGAAAAAAACCAAGAAAGAAAAAAAAGAGAGAAAAAATAGTATGCTCAGATCTGCATTCAGATTCCATAGTTCTTTCTCTGAATATGGATAGCACTTCCCATCACAAGTCTTTTGAAACTGTCTTGGATCATTATATTGCTGAGAAAAGCTAAGTCTATCACAGTCCATCATCCCATACTGTGGCTGTTACTGTGTACAATATTTTCTTGGTTCTGCTCACTTCACTCAGCATCAGTCCATACAAGTCTTTCCAGGTTTTTCTGAAGCCTGCCTGCTCATCATTTCTTATAGCACAATAGTATTCCTTCACAGTCATATACCACAACTTGCTCAGCCATTCCATTGATGGGCATCCCCTCAACTTCTAATTCATGAACCCATATCTTCTTGACTCTAGGCCTAGCACTCTATCCACTGTACCAGCTAGCTGCCTAGTGTAATAAACCATATTTATAGACTACTTCAAGGTTTATAAAGTGATTTTCTGGTAAAAAAAAAAAAACAACAACAACAACAACAAATAAACCAATTATGTGAGGTATAGAATCATTAACTTAGACTTGGAACTGGAGGGTACCTCAGAGACCATGTAGTTCAAATCCCATTTTACAGCTGAGGAAACCAAGCCCCACAGAAATTCAATGACTTGCCCAAGCATACAGAGAGAGTAAGCCTCAGAGTAGAGGTTTGAATTCAGCTCTACTGATTTCATGTTCTTTTCCCTGCGTTGAAGATTCTATGTTGTAGGGAGTGTCTACACTAGCATCATCATTTTATACCTAAGGAAACCAAAGATCACAGATGTTGTGTGGCTTGCCCCCATTAGTAAGTTTTAGAGCCTGTACTTGAGTCTTTGGCTCCACATTCCATGCCGAGAATACACCTTCCTCCTCCTCAATCTCTAAATTCTTCCCTTCTTTCAAGGCTTAATTTGGGTGCCCATCTTCCTCTTGAATTGCCTGACTCTCTCTTCACCCCCTTGCTGAAATGGATCTCTGACTCTTCTGATTTCTCATAGCCCCTTACCTGGACTTCTCTTTTGCACTAATTACATCATGCCTTGCATCATAATTTGGTGTTCTTGTTTTTTTTTTCTCCTGCCATGAGATTATAAGTACCTTGAGAGAAGCGTCTGTGTTATATTGATTCTTGCCTTTTCCAAAGTGCCTGGCACAAAGACTTAATAAATATTTGTTGCACTGAATTCTACTCCAAGTCCTGTGCTTTATCCATTACACCATGCCCTCTTTAATAAAGGCAGTAATTTTGTCACTGACAAAGTTGAGTCTTGTTAAGTATCTTGAGGGCAATGGAGAGATTTGATACTTGAATGCAAAAATAACTCATTCTTATAACATCATATTTATGTCAAATTATAATGTCTTATTAATTGGAGGGGAACGCAGCTAGGTGACACCATGAATAGAGTGCTGAGCCTGGAATCTGAAAGCCTCATCTTCATGAGTTCAAATCTGGCCTCAGATACTTCCTATCTGTGTGACTCTGGGCAAGTCACTTAACACTGTTTGCCTCAGTTTCCTCATCTGTAAAATGAGCTGGAGAAAGAAATGGCACACCACTCCAGTATCTTTGCCAAGAAAACCCCAAATGGGGTCACAAAGAGTTGGTCAAGACTGAACAACAACAATTCTTCAATATTCCAAATATTTCCAAGTATACCACTATCCCTTACCCTTAACTGACCCCTCAAACCCTTTCTCCACTTGGAAATGTATACTATTACATGACTTCTCTGCTACAAATGACATTAGGTAACTTTTTCCCCAGTTTTTCATAACATAAAAGTTGATTCACTTAAACGTGAAAAATGAGAATGATTCCAAAAGATGTATGTCAACATGATCTTGGAACCTGAACTACATTTTCCTTTCAATATGAATTGATAGGAATTGTGTTATTTCTTTTCAGGAAAACTGTTGAAAGCTGAATACATCCTAAGCAGCCTTATAAGCAACAAGGGAGCAACAGGTAAATAAATGTACATTCAAACTGATTGCCCCCCGTGTGACACACTTCTGATTTAGAAGATATATAATTGCTCTTACACGTTCTGAAAAGAATTAGAAACTAGCCATGTCAACTTCTAATATTAACTTTAGCATTAATTCTTAGTAGAGCACTAGCTATAGTAACTATCCTTTTTTGTCTCTTGGTTTTCCTTGCTTTGAAAATGGAGTATACAGTGCTCCCTTGAATATATTACTGTATGATCTAACTAAATAGTATGTAAAAACTAGACTGAAATGTCTGAAAATGCTCAGAAGCCATTTTAGAAAGGAAATTCGTAAGAAACTATGGCTAAGAATAGGATGTTTTAAGGGCAAATGTGTAGCCTTTATATTAAAAAAAAAACAATTTGACTCTTCCCCTTAATTTAACCACTTAAGAATTTTAATTAAAATACATTTTGGAAAGCATTTCTTCTTTCAAAATCTAACCATAAGGTGGCACAGTGGATAGAGCACCAGCCCTGGAGTCAAGAGGACCTGAGTTCAAATCCGACCTCAGACCAAACACTTGACACTTACTAGCTGTGTGATCCTGGGCAAGTCACTTAACTCCAACGGCCTAAAAATAAAAATTTTTTTAAAAATCTAACCATATAAAAATACCTAGCATTTACATAGCACCTTAAGGTTTGCAAAACATTGTACAAGTGTTATCTCACTTGATCCTCAAAACAACTCTGGGAACTAAGATCTATTATTATCCTCATTTTGCAGATAGAGAAACTGAGTTTGAGAGAGGTTAAAGGACTTCCCTTGGTTCATACAGCTATTAAGGTTCTGAGGCAGGATTTGAATTCAGGTCTTCCTGATTCCAAGTATGGCATTCTTACATAGTTACCTTACATTCATACCAACTAGCTAGCATGTTCTTTGCATGTAGAACCTACACGCAAAGAATCACTTTTTAATGGTTAGGGCCATAGGAAATCTGTGAGTTTAGATAACTGATTCCTAGAATAGTTGGTCTTGAAAGTCCATCCTGATCAATTTCAACACTGGCAGCATCTGCCATGCCTTCTACATGGCCATTTCCAGAGGTAAAGGGGAATATATCCTATCCCAGAGGGCTGCACATGAATAGTGTCCATGATGCTATTTGATTTTTCTCTGATTTGGGAAGTTGTAGGGGTGGAGAGGTTGCAGCAGAGATGATCCTAGGTAAGAAAGGGTCAGAATCAAGAAGTAAACAGATCAAGCTCAAGAAAAGGGTTCTATCAGTCACAAAGAGGTCAAATGCCTAAAGCAAAGGCAGTATCAAAACCAGGAACACCAAGGTACAGAAGGGATTAGTGCAAAATGAGGCATGGGATCCTAATACAATAGTCTGGTATCATTGTAAGATAAAAAGGTGGCAAATGAGATAAAGAATTCTCTCATTTTGCTCCACCGTTTTGTTTGGATGTGTGCTTTATGCCTGGCCTTGTGTGATTGACACCCTCTCCACACCCTCCAATTTCTTCTGAAGTCCCTTTAGCTGGACAGTTCAAGCTCTGGCAATAGCCAGGCAGTTGGCAGCATGGGAATCTTTGACTGTAGCTTCAGTCCCTCTCCCGCCCCACCCCCTGTTGCCCTAAGCCTTAGTAATGTTAAAATTTTCATGAAACTGAATGTAGAGCTCACTCTGGGAAAGGGTGGATGCCTCTGCCTTAGGTGACCTCCCAGGTCCTGCTTTGTTGCTTTTCACCAAAGGCAAAGAATTACAAAGAAATTCACAATTCACAAAATCATAAGAATTACAAAGTAAAGAGTAGATGCCATGTGATTCCTAAAAATAATTTTAAGGTATAATTTTAAGGTATAAAAAATAAGGTATCAGATTAGTTGTTTATTTTTTAATAGCAGTTCAGTATGCCCAAAGGGCTATAAAACTGTGTCTACCCTTTGACCCAGCAATATCTCTACTAGGTCTGTATCTCAAAGAGATTAAAAAAAAAGGAAAAGAAATTATATGTGCAAAAATATTTATAGCAGCTCTTTTTGTGGTGGTAAGAATTGGAATTGAAGGGATGCCATCAATTGGGGAATGGCTGAACAAATTGTGATATATGATTGTGAAGTAATACTAGTGTGCACTAAGAAATGATGAGCAGAATGGTTTTGAAAAAACTTGGGAAGACCTATATGAACTGATGCAAAGTGAAGTAGGGAGAACATTATACACAGTAACAGCAATATTGTAACAATGAACAATTATGAAAAACTTAACTATTTTGATCAATACAATGATCCAAGACAATTCCAATCAACCTATGATGAAAAATGCTGTCTACCTCCAGGAAGAGAACTGATGAACTCTAAGTGCAGATTGAAGCATATTTTTTTCACTGTATGTTTCTTGTTTTTTTGTTTGTTTTTTTGCAACTTGGCTAATAGGGAAATATGCTTTTCTTGTCTTCTCTATGGGTAAGGAAAGGGCAGGAGGGAGGGAGATAATTTGGAACTCAAAATTTTTCTTTTAATTAATGTTTAAAATAAATAAATGAAATTTAAATAGCCATTCAGAAGGATACATGCTTCTCTCTATTTCTTTTCTTTTCTTTTCTTTTCAGGCACATGGCAGTATAACAAGGAAAGTGATAAGATCCTTGTCCAGTCAGTCTGCATACAAATCAGAGGACAAATCCTACAGAAGCTAGGTGAGCCATACATTTCTCCCAGAAAAATTTACAAAGAATAACTTATTCAAACACTATTATATTTATCTCATATTATAAATTATAATATTTGGTAATAAAGATAGGATCTAGACTCTTGATTTCATCCTTACAGAGAATTCATCCCAGATGAATGAATGCTTTCTATCAATCAATGAAGATTGCAGGAATCTTGTTTGCAACTTAGAGTCTTAGAGAACTACCTAGAACACTGAAAAGTCAAGAATACTTGACCAGCATCAAGCCAGGATAGGTCAGAGGTAGGACCTGAACCCAGGTCCTCCCAGTTCTGAATCTACTTCTCTATCCACACCAAGCTGCCTCTCAAGCAGAGTCACTACTCTGAATATTTTCACATCAAGCAAAAATAATTTGTGTGAGGGGAGGTGGTAATAGGCTGTAGCAACGCAAAGAACAGTTGGATTGAAGGTTCGATAACACCAGAAAAAAAGGAGATTAGACTGCTATGTTCTGGTGGGAAAAGCCGGCTTCTTGTGGGGGCCATCTTACCTAATGGCCCTGGGGTAAGGTTTGCTCTAGAAACAAACAAGACCGGGGTGGAGAACCTGTGGTCTTGAGGCCACATGTGACCTTCTAGGTCTTTGGGTACAGCCTTTTGACTGAGTCCAAGTTTTACAGAACAAATCCTTTTATTAAGGGAATTTGTTCTGTGAAGTTTGGATTCTGTCAAAGGACTGAACTTGAGGACCTTGAGGGCCACACGTGGTCTCGAGGCCACAGGTTCCCCATCCCTGGGTAAGACCTTGGAGGTGAGATATGAGAAAGGTTTCCCCCAACACATACATATTGGAACCTTCAGGCAAATCCCTTAATTTTTCTAGTTATGGTTCTGGTGTTGAATACTTGGCTAGAAATAATGAAACTGACACTCCATTGGAAACTTTACCACTGAATAGTCAACAAGTCTTCAATTCTGTTTCCCCACCTGAAAAAAAAAAAGGGGAAAAAATTCATCATCATCGCTTCCAAGGATGTTATGAAGATTAACAGAGCAGTATGCTAAATTTTTATACATTTGATGATATAAAGAAAAATGTACCCATAGTTAACCTTAATGAGGGAACATTTTGCTCTTAATATGTTTTCCATTGCATGACATATCACTGTCAATAGGGCTTTCCTGTGAAATGGTAATAGCTTTTTCCAAATGTGCCATAACATCTGTCCCTATCCTCCCTCAGAAGTGTCCTTATGGAACTTAGATGTGACTCTTTGGCAAGCAGTATAGAACACTGTAGTTACAGTTATTTCCAACAATACTTAATCTGGATCCTTCCAGAAACATCCTCTTGAAAATAAATTTTTAAGAAATTAATAGAACTCTAAGGAGCATACTTCAATCAATCAATCAATCAAGCATTTATTTAAGGGCTTATTCTGTGCCAGGTACTGTACTAGATACTAGAGATACAAAGACAAACATGATGAAACAGTTCCTGCCCTCAAGGAACTTACGTTCTACTGGGAGAAACATCTTCCTGGTTTTGAGTATAAACAAGATAATTTCCAGTGGGAAATACTAGCAACTGAGGGGAGCAAGGAAAATTCACATAATAATATTTATGTAACTACATTTATGTAACACCTTCAGCTTTTCAAAGTGCATTATGAACATTATCTCATTTTGCCCTGGGAGATGGGTGCTATTATTATCCCCAGTATGCAAAAACTGGAACAAACAGAGATTAAATGACTTTCCTTCAGTCACATAGCTAGCAAGGCAGGGTCTGAACTCAGCTCTTCCACTGTACCACCTAGCTCCCTCTAGTGGCTAAAAGAGGTAGTACTTGAGCTGAGCTTTGAGGGAAGATAGAAGGGGAGGCGAGGATGGAATGTATTCCAGGATTGATGGCAGGCAGCTTTTGCAGAGGTAAAAAGAAATGGAAGATAGAGGGTTATATGTAAAAAGCAAAACTGTGGGTGAAGAACAGCAAGAAAGCCAGTCCTACTGGATCAACAAATGTGTGAAGATACCTGGAAAGGTAACCTTCCCAGGCTGGAAAGGGTTTTAAATATCAAACAGATGAGTTTGAGTTTGAAAGTACCAGTAATAAGAAGTAGCTACAGCTTATTGAAGAGGGAAGTAAAATGGTCATACCTCTACGTTAGAAACCTCACTTTTGGTAGCTGCATTGTTGAATGGATTAAAAAGAGAGACCCGAGGCAGAGACATCAGTAGGGAGGTTATTGCAATATCCCAGGCTAGAGATGCCGGGGGCCTGAACTGGGGTGGTAATCATATGACTGGGCAAAAGGGGATGGATGTCAGAGGTGTTGTCGAGGTAAAACTTACAGGATTTGGCAACATTGGCAAGATTAGTTATGTGAAATGAGAGAAAGTAAACATTAAGAATGAGGCTGTGGTCTTCCATCTGAGTGAATGGGAAGTATGATGACATCCTCACCAGAAATAGGGAATTTGGAGAAAGGGGAAAGTTTGGGGGAAAAGGTAATGAGTTCTATTGTGGATATGTTGAGTTTGAGATGCCTGTGGGGCATTACTATTCCAAAAAAATGGTCATTTTTTAGAAGAGTGATATGAATAAAATAATAATAGCAAGTTAATGTAAGAGAAAGTATGACATAGTGACTAGAGACCCAGCTTCTGAGTCAGGAAGACCTGAGTTCAAGTTTCACCCCTGACACGTATTACCTATGTAACACTGGGCAAATCACTAAATTTCTCAGTGCCCCATGCAACTAAGTTTATATGTTGTAAAGCAAATGCAATCTTCATTGGGAAAGAGAGTTTCCTCCCAAGAATTCCCTACGACAGCAATATCAAACTCAAATATGCAAAGATCCCTATGTGCATATTGACATAGAAATCCACATCTTAGCATTATCTATGTTCTATTGTATTTTTATTTATTTTGTTAAATATTTCCCAATTACATTTTAATCTGCTTAGCCCAGTGTCTGGCATAGAGTAGGCTCTTAATAAATGTTTATTGAATTGAATTGGTTCTAGGTACACTCCAGACAATGTGCCCCACACATTGTAACCACAGGTTACACTGTAACCGGTAACCACAGGTCTTGATCACATAGAATTTTTAGCCTGTTGTATTTAAACATTATAATTTTAAGATTATAACAAAAAGGCATTGTAGTATAGTGGATAGGGAACCAGTCTCCAAGCCAGAAAGACCTGGTTTCAAGTTCTGCCTCTGATACATACTGACTGTGTGACCCTGGGTAAGTCACTTAATCTCTCTAGGATATGTGAGTAAGAGAAAATGTTCTAGGTAACTCTAAGACAATAAATTGTAGAGAAGGTGCCAACCTACATTGATAGAGCAAGTTTCCTCACCTGGGAATTCCCCCAACTCATGAAATCATAGTTCTAATTCCCAATCCTTTTTGTTGTTGTTTAGTCATTGAGTTGTATCTGGCTCTTTGAAACCTCATTTGGGATTTTCTTGGCAGAGATACTGGAGTACTTTGCCATTTTCTCCAGCTCATTTTACAGATGAAGAAACTGAGGCAAAAAAGGTTAAATGACTTGCCCAGGGTAACTGTCTGAGACCAGATATGAACTCAAGATGAGTCTTCCTGACTCCAGGCCCAGTGCTCTATCCATGGTGCCACCTAGCTGCCCAATTCCTTTAATAAGTTATTATAACTGGACATAAATATAATATTTTAAGAATGAGTCATTCTTGTGTTCAGGTATCATCTCTATCCATTGCCCTCAAGACCCTTAACAAGACTCACTTTCTTAGTGACAAAGCACTGCCTATTTGTAGATTAGCTTCTTTGGAAGCTTCATTAAAATTTGGGTCTCTAAAGTGATATTTAGTTAGCCACTGACTCACAGAAGTAAACCTGGCCTGAGAGAATTGATTTGTCTGTCAATAATTTCTAACTTCAAGCTCAAGAGCAGTTTTAATAATATAGAGTTTAAAGTTTAATAATACGGAGTTTAAAGCTGGAAGGGACCTTTGAGATCATTTCAGCCAATCTCTTCATTTTACTGCTGAGGAAATTAAGTCCTAAAGGAATTAAATGGGACAGCCAGGTAGCACCATAGTGGATAGGGCACTGGGCTTGGAATCAGGAAGACTCATCTTCCTGAGTTCAAGTCAGGCCTCAGATACTTCCAAGCTGTGTGACCCTAGGCAAATCACCTAAATCCATTTGCCTCAGTTTCCTTATCTGTAAAATGAGCTGAAGAAGGAAATGGCAAAGCACTCCAGTATCTATTCTAAGGAAACCCCAAATAGGGTCATGAAGAGTCAGACACAACAGAAACAACTGAACGACAACAAAGGAGTTAAGTGACTTATGCAAAGTCATTCTGGTAAACAGCATAGCCCAGAGTTGAGCTCACATCCTCGGATCCCAAATCCAGTGCTCTTGCTTACTCTTGACCATTTCCCTATAAGTCTGAAAAAGGACAGGTATAAACCAAATGTCAAAAACAGATTGTTAAATAAAATTAACTTGCAAATCCAACCCAGCTCTGTACCAACAGAATGAATATTCTTTTTCTTGTTTTAAAAGGATGTTCAAAGGCACTTTACATCAAGGAAGTCCAGGTGGTTGCTAACTATTGATCTGCTTTATTTCAGGAATGTGGTATGAAGCTGCAGAATTAATTTGGGCTTCAATCATAGGGTACTTGGAACTTCCTCAGCCAGATAAAAAGGTGAATTAATTCTTTTCTCTCTCCCCCATCCTGGTGTCTCAATATCTCTCTCCTTCCCTCCTTTCTCTCTCTCTCTCTATCTGTTTCTCTCTCTGTCTCTCTGTCTCGTTCTCTCTCTCTCTCCCTCCCCTTAAAAGTGATTAAAGCATAAATTTTATTTACCTAGATGATCTTAATTTTATTTTTCCTCTGCATGATGGGTAGCAAGCACAATAAAGAAGCGTGCTTTTAGGCCTGGTTTGACCTTCATTCACTGTTGAATCCTGGGCAAACAATATTTCTAAAGCTACCTACTTATGTTTTATTTGTTTACTTAGGATTTTTATCTTACCCACTTCCACAAGATTTAAGGGACCTGATTTGGATATATGCAAAGTTATTATTCTACTATCCAGTTTTCTAAAATATCCTAAGATAATGGTTTCCAACCTTTTCCTTTATGAGGACCTCTTTTTAACATAAAAACATTTCACAAACCTTCCCAGCTAGTATATATTATTCATATTCAATAATTTAGTACATAATAATGTAGAGATACTATGAATCCAATAATATTTTTATGATTTGTATTTTATAACTCAACAGAAAAAGAAAAGGTCTTAATCCAAAAGGCCAGGGGAAAAGCATTCTATTAGGTCCAAACAAAGCATTAATAATATAAAACTGTTGACATTTAGCCCACTATTCACTATGCATATTTTATTAGAACTGAATAAGTTCCTTATAGTAACTCCACAAGCTCCACTGCCCTCTCCACTAAAGGTTTTTGTGGCCTCAGCTTTGGGAACCACTATTCTAAGACCAATTGACATGACTAAAATATTCATATTGTTTCTTTAAAAGTAGTCTTTTATTTTTGAATGGTATTCTCATCCTATATAACAATATGGAAATGTTCCAAACATTAATTAAACCTCTGAGATACTGAGTAAAGTTATAATACTAATAGCTAGCATGTATGTAGCACTTTAAGGTTAACCATGCATTTTACAGATATTATCTCATGTAATAATCTCAATAATCCTTTGAGGTAGATGCTATCATCGTCTCCATTTTACAGATGAGGAAACTGAGACAGATGAAAGTTAAATGACTTGCCCAGGGTTATACATCCAGGAAGCATCTGAGGTCAGATCGGAGTTCACTTGACCTGTATGCCTCGGTTTCCTCAACTGTGAAATGGAGAAAATAATAGCACTCACCTAATGAGGTTGTTGTGTGGATCAGAAAGAGGGTGTTTTTAAAGCAATTAACATAGTACCTGGTACATAGTAGGTACTTAATAAATGCTTCCTACTTCCTTCTTTCCCTTTTTCCCTCCCTCCCTCTTTTCCTCCCTTCCCTCCTTTCTTCCTTCTTCTCTCACTACCTTCTTCCCTTCCTTCTTTCCTTCCTGACATCAGGTACAGCCTTCCATCCACTGGACCACTTCACTGTCTGTAGATGAAACACTACCTCAGTGGAAAGAATCTAATTCTACAATCAAAGGATTTAGATTCAAATCCTGCCTCTTATCTGCTATCTGCGTGATTACACAAACCATTTAACTTCCCTGAGCCTCAGTTTCTTTGTTTGTAAAATGAGGTGGCTCTCAGGTCCCTTCCAGCTCTAAATCTGGGGTCTATAGCCTCCTGTTATAATGTAGTCTGGGGTGAGGGGTTGAGTTTTCTTTTCTTTTTTTTTTTAACAAGTGACACTTCCTGTTGTCTAGAAATACTGAGAATGAGCCTATAGTGATAAATCAATGAAAATTAGAGAACTATCAAAAAATGTCAATACTTTCAGTAAATCCACATGCCCTCGGCCATCCTCAGTAGTCTATGGGAGAGAGAATGGACCTTCCTAAGCACTCCCTCATTTTACAGGTGAGAAAACTGAAACAAGGAGTTAAAGTAACTTGTTCGGTGTCACTAAGTGATTTTGTGGTAGAGTCGGGATTAGAACTCACTTCTGCTGACTGCTCATTTCACTTCATCATGATGCTTGTAGCCTTCGGTTTAAAAACCTCCTGGAATTTTTAAGAGTGAGTACAGAGGAGGCTCAATTGATGCTATAGGATATCCTTCCTAGGGCAAGTCAGAGACACAAACAATAAGCATCCCTAAACACTTAACTTCTTTTGTTTTTCTTTATAGGGAATTGCTACATCACTGGGCATATTGGCAGACATATTTGTTTCCATGAGCAAGAAAGATTATGAAAAATTTAAAAGTAACCCTCAAATTACCCTGGTAATTATCACTTCATTTCAAACATATTATAGAAAGGATTTACCTACAAAAATTCCATCACCATATTGGTTCCTGCACTTTTTATCTAATCAAAAACCTAGGTTGAATAGTCAAAGGATACAAAAAAACAAAACACAAATTATAAATAATCACTTGCATATTTGCCCAACCTCATTAATAAACAAAGGAAAGAAAATTAAAATAGCATTGAGTTATCATTTCAAACCCATCAAATGGGCAAAAACAAAATTCAGCGTTGGTGGACTTGTGAACAAACAGGCAGAATCATACATTGTTGTTAGAATTGCAAAGTGGGAGAATCTTTTTGAGCATTATAAATTACAAAAATAATTGACCCAATGATTGTATTTTTGGACTGTATCCTAAGAGTATAATTAAAATTAAAAAGTAGCTATCTATTCAAAGATATTCATAGCAACATTATTTGTAATTGAAAAAAATGAGAAATGACTTTAATATCCCACAGTTAAGGAAGGGCTAAGCAAATAATATTACATCAATATAAGGGAATTATATAATTAAAATTAATAAGCACAAGAAATATAAATATAAGAGCCCCTCTGGGCTCACTCCCCCAGACAGCCTTAGCACTGTCAGAGTGACTCCACAGTCACAGTCAGACGGCTGGCTATTCCTCTCCCTCAGGATCATAGGGGTAAACCTGAGGAGGTAGGTTTCTAGTACCGTTGATCACAAACTTCCAAAAGTTTGCTCTCTGTTAACATTTAGCAAGGTAGACTTAATTAGCTTTTACAGAAAGTGTTCACTAAGCCAGTGTGGTAAGAAGAGTTGTTACAATACATTTCCTCCAAAACCTAAGATGCACTCTCCACTTACATACACAAGGTCCCCAGGAGAGGAGGCTCAAACTTAAAATACAGTGGGATAAAGGGATACCCTCCCCGATCCTGACCCTAGAAGACCTTTTCTCCCTTCAGTAAGTCTTCAGGCATAGATCTCTGAGTTCCAAAGATCAGTGCCTTTCCGGACTTTGTAGTTAGCATTTCCCTCTGCCGAGAAGGGTTATAATCCCCAAAGTTCCCCACAGTCATGTTACCCCTTAGTTGACTGTCTTTTCACAACATCTGCAACTCCCTCCACTACTACTGATATCCAGTGGCCACTGCTACTGCTCCATTCAGCTCTGACAACTAATAGGGCTACTGATGGAATCTCTGGGTCACTCAGCAGGTTTCTTGTACACTTCCATCCCAGAATAACCTTTTTGTCAAAGTTCAGGAAAGAATAGACATGAAGAGACAGAAGTGGCCATATACTCACAGTCACCACGGCTGAGTAGGACACAGGATCATCCCTCCCCCACCAAATCTCCAGGCTAGATCACAGTAGTCCTGCCTCCTCAGAATTGCAAAAGAAAGGAGCAATGAAGGATCAAACTGACCCTTTTTTATATCTAGCTCAATAATTCCCCATCATCAATTCTTCTGGCCTTGCAGAGAATTAAATGACTTTTCGTTATGACACAAGACCAGCTCCTGAATCATCATGACCACAAGGAAACTGGCTCTCCCACAGCTTCCCCAAAGTCACTGGGGCTGAGATCAGGCAGCAGGTATCTGAGTAGGTTTCAAAGACTGCCTTCTCCCCACCCCCACGTCCACTCCTATTATATAAAGAAATATGGAAGGGTGAATGTGAAATAATGCAAAGCGAGGGAATTAAAATCAGAACATGATAACGGTAATATGAAAGGGAAAATGTATAAGAAGCTTAAGGGGACCTTGATGTAATATAAACTATTGTATTTTAAAATACTTCATTAAAACACAAATAGCTATATTTATGTGGTTTTGTTGATCTTTAAGTGTGTTTATAAATTTGTCTTTCTGATTAATTTTTTTCAATGATCAAGTATTTGTTTTTCTCTCTCTCCCACTGAGGAGAAAAATAAAAACAAAATACTGGTAGCAAATATGCATAGCCAAACAAAACAAATTCTCATATTGGCCATGCCCCAAAGTGAATGCCTTATTTTGCTTATTCGGTTTATCCTCTCTCTGGGGTGGGTAGTATCCTTCATCATTGGTCCTCTAGAATTGTCATTGACGTGTTGCTCTTGTTCTTTTTATAATGTGATTGCTCTCTTGATTCGGCTCACTTTTTTCTGTATCAGTTCATACAAATCTTCTCAGGATTCTCTAAAGCAAGCTCCATTATCATTTCTTAGGGTACAATAGTATTCCATTACATTCAAATACTGTCATTTGTTCAACCATTTCCTAAATGAAGGGCAGCCCCTTAGTTTTCAGATATTTGCCACTACAAATAGAGATGTTATAAATATTGTGTGTATATAGAACCTTTTACTCCTTTGGTTTCTTTTGAGTATAGGCCACATAATGGCATTCCTGAGTCAAATGGTTTATACAATTAAGTAATTTTTTGGACATGGTTACAAATGACTTTCTAGAATGGCTATACCAATTCACAGCTCTACCAAAAGTGTATTAGTATGCCAGTTTTCCCCTGGTCCCTCCAACATTTGTCATTTTTTTTTTTTGTCAACTTTACCAATCTATTGGATGTGAGGTAAAACTATAAAGCTGCTTTAATGTGTGCTTCTCTAATTATTAGTCATTTTGGAGCATTTTTCCCTAAGAGTATAGATAGCTTGGATTTCTCCTCTTGAGAACTTCCTGTTTATATCCTTTGACCATTTATTGATTGGGGATATACATATATATATATATATATTTTTTTTTTAAAAGAAAGAATCCTGTAGTGAATGGTGAGAAATCTTAACCTGGAGTTCACAGACTCCTTGGTCCATGGATACATTTAAGGGGGTCCATGAACTTGAGTAGGAAATACACACACACACACACACACACACACACACACACAATCTTTATTCAATACAATTGGGGTTTTTTTTTGGTAATCCTATGTATTTTTATGCCTTTAAATGCATTATTCAGAGAAGAGGTTAAGAACTCTCCTGGAGGAATATAGAATTCTCATATGAACACTGGAGAAACAATTTTATAAAAATTTTCTTCTTAAAAAAACACAATTTGGTTGCATGTTGGGCATATTAGATTGGTAAAATGGAAACATAATAGTTTAACAGTTTTAACATTTTCCAGCTAAAATTAAAACTCTTAGTCCATTTTCTCTAGTCTCTTGTCATTCTTATGTGCTGTAATAGAATTCCATTGAAAATTCAAAGTTATTGACCTTACCATGTTCTAATGAAGCATGACAATTTGAGAATTTTAAGATTGACATTATTAAAATCAACTTATCTGTCAAATATAGAAAGTAAGAATGCTACTTTGTAGGGAGGTCCAGACAATACTACACTTTGATTATATATTTAATCAAGAAACATTTTTATCTTTTTTATTTTATCTTTTAAAAAGATGATTGCACATGAAACTGCACATCTAGTATTTGCTTGCTATTCCTTTTAACTATATAATAAAATTATTGTGTAGCTTTCTTTTTTTCCTTTTTTTCTTCCCTCTCCTTCCCTACCCTAGAGATGGCTACCATTAGACACAAATATGTGTGTGGGGGGGGTGGGTGGGTATGTGTATAAATATATATATATATGTAAAATCATTCTATACATACTTTTATTTATCACTTCTTTCTCTGGATGCAGATAACATCTTCCTTCATAGGTCCTTTGTAGTTAATTTGGGTATTTATAGTAGTCAAAATGACTTAGTCACTCAAAGTTGTTCTTAAAACAATATTGCTGTTACTATATACAGCAATCTCTTGGTTCTGCTCATTTCAATTTTTATTATTTCATGCAAGTCTACCCATGGTTTTTTCCTCAAATCAACAAGTTCATCATTTCTTAAGCACAGTAGTATTCCATCATGATCATATGCCACAGGCATTCCCCATTTGATGAGCATCCACACAGTTTCCAGTTTTGCCACTACAAAGAGATCTGCTATAAATATAAGCCCCTACTATGTGCCAGGCACTGTGCTGGGTATTTCGCATATAAAAGCAAAAACAAAGCAGTCCCTTTTCTCAAACTTTTACTAGACCTTAAATTCCATTTATACACACAGAACTAGTTTATAGAAACAGAAAAAAAATGTACACCTTTGCCCTCCCTATACTAGCATCCTAATTTCTATTAAATCACAAGCTACTGAGGTCTTTGCCAATAAATGTGCACTAATCATCAATGAGTTGGTGAAGGTATAAGTGCAATCCTGTTCTCTTTGGGAAGTAGAGAGAGTCAGGGGAAAAAAGGAAAAGGGAGAAGGGAGGAGGGCTATACAGAGAATTAGAATCCCAGGCCCCCTTACTCCTTTTTCCTGCTATATTTTCATCGTAGATGTGAAGAGAGCCAAAGTTTGGAAACCCAAGTGTGAATCTTGAGTACAGCAGTTTAGCACACTACCACTCACTTTTGCTCTTGGTCAAGAGGGTAGCTAAGTTCTGTTGTCTCTTCTATTCTCTTTGCAGAACCTTCTCAGAGACTTTGATCACCATTTGCTGTCAGCAGCAGCCGCGTGTAAGCTAGCTGCTGCCTTTAGCCAGTATACCCCACTTTTTGTACTCACAGCTGTGGTAAGTGTGGTATAGCAAGCCCATTAGTCTTTCCTTGCCCTATGGCCTTCCAGATTTACCCAGTGGTAGGGAAAAAAATCAATCCAGTTAAGCCAGGCTTCCTGCTATGTAATTGACAGTATTAGTTTAGAGACTATTCATGTAGGGGAAAGGCTTTAATACTCAGCATTGTAGCATCATGGTAGGAGCTAAGTTAATTCTGCTTGAGCAATAAAATGCCATCTGCCCTCGAGTCCTAAGTATTAAAATCTAAATGCATATTGATGCAAAGACCAGTTTGTGTGTGTATATATGTTCAATTGCCTTATTTTGAAGACAACTTATGTCCATGCCTAGGCTCTATGAGCAAGAACTCACAAGTCAATCATCTTTAACAGAAAAATGTCAAGGTTACAGTGGAATGGTAAATAGACACACACAACATCCCCTATCTTTTCTTGCTACTTAATTACACATTTCCAAAACCATTCTTCAGTATTTTCTAAAGCCTCCTCAGCTCTGAGATCTTTCTATCTTAAGCTCTAGTAAAATAAAATCCCAGGTTTTTAACTTGATATCTGCTTTTATTTTTTCCATAGAACATCCGAGGCACATGTTTATTGTCCTATAGTAACTCTGCTGACTGCCCTCCAGAAAAGAGAAAGTTGTATTTATCTGAAGCCAAAGAGGCCTTTGAAATTGGCCTCCTCACCAAAAAAGACAACGACCTAGTTGCTGGAAAACAGGAGCTTCACAGTTTCATCAAAGCTGCTTTCTGCCTCACCACAGTGCACCGGAGCCTCAGTGGGGAGACCAAAGCCGTCCGTGTTTCAGATAGACTTTGTAGAGAAGCAGTAGGGAAACTGTATGCTTATTCCACTTCAAGGGGGACTCAAGACAAAGAATCACTGGCTCAGGAGATCATGTCTGATATTGAGCAGGTTAAGAAGTATTTGCAAGTCCAAAGTTTCTCCAATTTAGATGACAGATCTTATGTCCCAGAGAGTTACAAATCCTGGATTGATCAGCCAATCTTGCATGGCAAAGTAGATTTCAAAGAATTCCTTGAAAGGCATTCCCAACACCATGCTTCAGTGTGTGAAGTATTTGAAAGTATATGTAAGAGCCACAAAAGTAGAGAAGAAGTAAAAACAGGAGCCTGTATCACATCCTTGAAAACTGAGACAAAAAATGCAGACACCTTGAGTACTAGCGATGACAAGTTGTTAAGTCAAAAAGGCATTGAAATACCTTCTTCAGAAAAAAACAGTCAGAATCATGAGAAGATCCAAATAAAAGAAAGAAGAAAATGGCCCCAATCAGACGCAGCTCATGTCTCACTTGATGAAGAGACAGAAACTGAACCATCAGACCACTTCAATAATGGCCAAACTGATGTTTCTAGCAACTCTCTGAATGGAAGTCAGACATCTAACTCTTGGAGCAAGATATCGGGATCCAGCTTTTCTACTAGCTGGGAGGAAGTAGATGATGATGCTGGTGATGCGCCAGTCAGAAGAGAGACCATTCAAGAAAAAATGCTAGTGGACACTCAGTGTTCCACAGCCCTGACTGAAGACCCGGAGAATGGTGATGAAAACGGCAGTCTCCATTCATTTCCTTCAGTGCCTCATCCTCCTTCTTTCAAGGATTCTAAAGAAGACTGTTTAGGTCCTTCCCAAAATCAACAATGTAAGCAAGCTCCCTTGGCTCCCCACAAGACGATAAGCACAGCCTCAGTTTCTGGTAAAACAGTCTTAGCCAACAGAGAACCAGAAATAGAAAATGTCCAGGAAATAAGAAATATGGAATCCAAAAGTGACTCTCCATTAAGGGTGTCTTCGTGTTCCTCTGCCTCTAGCAGGTCCGGAGAGATCATCTCATTGTCTTCCCCAGAAGAATCAGACTCATTTGAGGTGATTGATGGGTTACCTGAAGCGGAAGGGAATCTAAGAGTCAAGAATGGAGAAGAGAAGGGAGTAAAAACCACTGAAAGAAATAAAGAACCCATATTTAGAGGACTGATTTCTTGGATTGATCAGGAAGAAGAAACTACAGAAAGTATAGAGGATGTTTCCTTGAGACAATCTAAAAACACCAAAGTCTCTTCTTGTTCTTTAGCCAACAAATCTACTGTGGCTGGCAGTTCTTTCACTTATCATTGGCCCGTGAAGAAGCTCATCACAGTAGAAAAAGAGGCCATAGAAAGGCAAGCAGATGAGTCAGATACCTCTACAAATGACAAGGAACTGAAGCTCACTAGTAGTAAGGTGAGCCACTGGACAAATAAAAATGGGCCTCCTAGACCGAATACTTTGGGAGAGCAAACCTGTCAGATGGTGAACAATGGCCATGGCTCCTGGGCAAACAGTAGCAGACCCTTCCCCACTCTGTGTGATGACACCACCACAGAGGATCATGGCGGAGGGAATGAATTTGGAAACTATAGGCAGAATTCTAACTCCTCTTTATCAAGGTTGCTCAACTCATCTGACTTTTCCAATGGTTCTTCTGAGGTGGGAAGTCCCTTGTCGTTTCTCAATTCCAGTGAAAGCTCTTTTGTATCTATACCAGGAAAGGTCAACCAAGAAGTCCTAGAAGCTCGCACCCTGGAGGACAATGACTTTGAGAAACTCCTGTCAGGAGTAGGGCATGACTGGTTATTCCAGAGACTAGAGAACACAGGAGTTTTTAAGCCCAGGGAGCTCCACCAAGCACACAGTAAGTGGTGTGGGGGACAAGGGTGGAATATTAAGCAGCCACCAAGTTGGGTCTTGATGTGTGAAGCTTTGTGAAGCCTAACACAGTCACCTTCACATCAGTGGCAACCTCAATAAATACTTGTCGAGCTCAATTGAATAGCTAGATGTTGCCTTTCTTGAAAGAGAGATGGGAGACTAGGTGAAGAATGAGGCATATGTCATCAGCAACATGTATCGCTTTGTTTTGGTTAACTACTCTTTATTTCAAGGAAGGATTCTGTTGGAGGTTGAGAGGATGTGGAGACCATTGAATGGTGAAAATGATCTAGGATCATAGGTTTTTACCAAAAAAGCACGCCCACAAAGTTTTTTTTTTAAAGATATTCCCTGAGATATAAAATTCATGAAAGGCTCAGATCCCTCTGGAAGTCATCAGACATGACATGTATGTGCACAAGATACTATACATATACTATACTATACAGGATACTATACAATGTGGCATTTGACTGATTTTATACCTGGAAATAATCTTGAATGCAGTAGCTGAAGACCAAGTGTTCTTCTCAGCCTGAATGTGCCATCCTTCTTAGTTCAAAGAAGAGAATAGCACCAACTGTGCTCTCGCACAAAGATACAAATATAGGCCCAGAAGCAGTTTGGCCTAGTAGTGTACTGGACCTGGGTTCAAATCTTGCTTCAGACACATACTAGTTGTGTAACCTTAGGAAAGTCAGTTAGCCTCTTATGTCTCAGATTCCACTCAGTAAATTGGGGATAATAATGGTACCTACTTCCTGGGGTTTTTGTGAGAATCAAATGAGATAATAACTGCAAAGTGCTTAATACAGTTCTTGGCATATAGTAAGCGCTATATAAATGTTAGCTATTATTACTAGTATTGTTATTACTATTATTATTATTATTTATTATTATTAATGGACCTGGAATCAAGAGGACTTGAATTGAAATTTTGCCTCAGACACTTGCCAGTTGTATAACTGTGGACAAATCATTTAATCTCTCTGTGCCTCAGTTTCTTCATTTGCAAAATAAAGGAGTTGGATTCAATGGTCTCTAAGACGCTTCCTAGGTCTAAATCTGTGATCCAATCCCATTTTATAACTAGCAGAAACTGTAACATTTTTCTAGTCTAACTCTTTCATTACACAGATTAAAAAGAAAACAAAACAAAACTGAGGCCCAAATTAGAGCAGTAACCAGACCAAAATCACAAAGGTAGGGAATAGAGAAAGCAGGGAATAGAACAGGTTCAGATACCACCTCTGATGTGGTACTTTGTTCAACCTCTTTAACCATCCCTGATGTGTTAAAATGAGGGCATTGGACAAGATAACCTCTGGAGCCCCACCCAACCCTAGCATCCAATGATCTCTTGATTTCTGCTCCAGAGCTTTCCTTGTTCTAGAGCACAACGCATCATATGATGTTGAGATGAGGTCAGTTTTTGTAAAGTCCAGTAAATATTGCAGAAGACAAAGGCTGCATGATGGCAAAGTGAATTTTGAATCAACCTTTCACCTTCTGCAAGCCAAGACACAAACCTGAGTCAGGTAACCAGAGAGATTAATTACACAGTTACTGTCTTGGGGTCCAGTGACAAACTAAGAGCACCTTTTCTCTGCATCTTGTTTGAACATTCATAAGTCACTTTCACATATATTATCTCCTTTGTTCTTCAAAGCAGGTCTGTGAAGTATACAAGTTAGGCATGATCCCAATTTTATAGAAGAGGCTATTTTAGCTCCAAAGAGATAATCGGGCTCAGTAGCTTCACAGCTAGTAATTTTAAAAGTCACAGCTTAAGTGAGGCATTGGAATGAATGGATCGATAAGTTTATGAAGCACTTATTATGTGCCCAGCACTGTGTAGAATGTCAAGGATACAAATATAAAAAGCAAAGACAGTCTCTACCCTTGATGGAGGGAGGTAACATAGAAAAAGGAGCAGTGGCCAGTGAGAGGTATTTTGGCCCAGAAAGTTATAGGGATAATGAGTAGATTGACATATGTCACCCAGTAAAAATGGCAGAGTTGATTTGATTGTGGTCAATAGTTCTAGAAACAGAGAGGAGAGGAAAGGAGTACCCTTTTGGAGGAAAGGATGCTGATTAATCTGTGGAGGAGAAGGCCAGAGAATTGGAAGTGAGATGGAGCCATTTTGAGATGTTTTCTTTGCACCGTGCTACACAGTTTTACCTGTGTATTCCACATTTCAAGGGTGTTTGAAAAATGATGGGATCATATTTCTCTCTCCAACTGATTACTCTTCTATTTTCTGATAACTAAAAATGTCCCATGTCACATACCTCATGAATTTTTCTTCCATAAATGTTTGCCTTGTTTTATATTGCTTCTTGCCATCATCCACAACAGAATGCTTTATTAGTATAAGGCTTCTCTTTGTTGCAAATTCCTCACATGTTATTGCCCTTTCATCTAGAAGTTAGAAGTTTAAGATGTGTGAAATTTGAGAGGGAATATTTTTTAAGGATTTGAAAAAAAATTTCCCAGATGTACTTTAAGCCCTCTGTTAATTTTAGTCTTTTTCCTGAATTATAATAGCCTTGCTCAAGATATGGCTAACTTCACCTTTTCTTTTTCCAGATGCTCTTTTGCTAAAATATTCCAAGAAATCAAAATTGTGGACAGCCCAGGAAACTGCTGTATATTTTGGTGACTACCTGGTTGTAAAGAAGAAAGGCAAACAAAGGAATGCCTTTTGGATACACCTCCTTCATCAGGAAGAAATTTTGGGAAGGTATTGCTCAAAAAAAAGGGGAAAAACCTGATTAATGTAAATGTAATTTGAGGGAGTTCCCTGACAAACTTGATGAGGTCTCATAGAGAGGGGTTAGGCATACCCAGTAATGCCTGGCTGAGAGGATTAATGACATTTTCTAGGCCTTATCAATCTATATGTACCACACTGAGGTTGAGGGTTTGAACTGGTTGTCTTGGGCTATCGTTAAGTCAGAGTCAATCCTACAGAAAACCCAAAGGACTCATAGGAGCCCCATTAAACCAACCCCGTGCTATATTGCAGTCTATAAGAATCCAAAATAAGATCCCAAGATGTAACCAAGCTCTAGTGCTACAGAAGATTGAGTTCAGCTGCTGTTGCATCTGACTCATTCCTCAAAGAATTCCCACTATAACAGACTGGAAAAATGCTTATCTCACTGTTGCTTGAAAACTTTTAGTGAGGGAAGAACCTATTACCTTCTGAGTCAGTCCATTCCACTTTTAACACTACTTTCAGTAGTATTACTTTTCATCAAGCCAAAATTTACCTTTTTTCAACACCCAATCATTGCTCCTGGTCCAGAGGTGGGGAACCTGCAGCCTTATGGCCATATGTGGCCTTCTAGGACCTTAAGTGCGGCCTTTTGACTGATTCCAAATTTTTGGTCAAAAGGCCACACTTAAGGACCTCGAAGGCCGTATGTGGCCTTAAGGCTGCAGGCTCCTCACCACTGTCCTTGTCCAATCTTTTGGGGACAAACAGAACAAATCTAGCCCTTCTTCTGAAGCCTTTCAAGTTCTTGAAGGCAGCTCTCATGGCCCCCCCTGAGCTTTGTCTTCTCTAGGATAAGGATCCCCAGTTTTTTTTTCACTAAATCATACAATAGCATGGACTAAAGGCTCTTCACCATCCTGGGTGCTCTCTAATTTATCAACATTCTTCCTTAAACACGGTGGTAGTCGTGGTGGTGGTGGTTGTGATGGTTGTGGTAGTGGTGGTGGTTGAGTCATTTTCAGTTATGTCTGACTCTTCATGACCCCTTTTAGAGTTTTCTTGGCCACGATACTGAAGTGGTTTGTCATTTCCTTCCCCAGCTCAGTTTACAGATGAGAAAACTGAAGCAAACTAAGTGTCTTAGGCCAGATTTGAGCCCAGGTCTTCCTGACTCCAGGCCCAGAGCTGTATCCACTATGACCCTGAACTAAACACAATATTCTACTTATGGTCTGACCAGAGTAGAGTAGAGAGAACAATCACCTCCTTTTCCCTGGAGACCACGCTTCTTTAAATGCATCCCAAAATCACATTCCTGTTTGGGACTCCCACTCCACCCTGCTGACTCATAGCTTATAGTCCCCCATATTCCCAAGCTCTGGGCTTGCACTAACTCTCCCTAGAAGAGAAACAAATTTAAGGTTGCTAGAGCAGCAATCTCTTGACATACTGGTAATTCCCATCTTAAAGTCCTTACTTACTTAGTAAGCCTAAATAAGGACTTGGACTTTTCCAGAAGGGAAATATGCTTGGGGTTCCCAGAAAGGCAAGCTCCTTGCCCACTGGAACTGCAGTGTCTCAATAACTCACTGTAAAAGCAGAGAGAAAAGCCCGGGTTTTTGTTACATATATCATCCCTGTTACTCCTTCACTTCTGGGACTATATGCGAGATCTCTCTAAGAGGTCGGTGTTGCCCAAGTATACTATTTCCTCCTCTTTTAGAAGACTGTGTCCCAGGATTCTCTTTCTCTCCAAGTTGGGTCCAGGCTCTTTCACCACTATCTTTTATCATGAAGCTGATAAAACATGCAACTTTATCGTGTATTTCCCCCATCCCTTGGGACTTAAGTTATCCATACTTTTCTCAAAGTTTTCATGCCTATGCCTATTCCCTGTCTTGGGAACTTTCCAAGTAAGAGCTGCCAATTTCCCACTTTCCAAGTAAGAGCTGTCAGGGTCCCTTTTTAGGACCAGCACAAAGGAGTAGCTCTCATCCATAACAGCCATATTCAACCAAATCATTCCTCATTGATGAGACTTTATCTCTCATTCTCAGTGAGGAGTGAAAGGGTGGCTTCAAGACATTGAAGACATTAGCCACGTCCTCAGTCCACTCAACGAGGTACCAATGCGCATGTCTATAACCTCTACTGGGAACCAGCACCTTCAAGTTGAACAAGCGAATCACCTGATCAGTCCTCTGCATATTTTTGTTTGTCCTTCATTCTCAAAGAGGATCATGACATCAAAGAGGTGATGCCATGACTTGCAAGTGAATTGGATTTAAGTGATGGAGGGCTGTGCAAAGTCACTAGCCTCACTTTCTCCTCCAGAACCATCTGAGTCCAGTGGCAAGATCAGGATGACTGGAGATGGCCCCACTATCCTCTGCATAAAATAAACACAGGCTTTCTGTTGAACTGATTATTTGTGGGTTTTTTAAAACTCACATACTTTAGTTTAGTCTTATAGATTTAGGGCTAGAAAGGATCCAGTCTAATCCAATCTAACCCTCTCATTTTTCAGATAAGGAACCTGAAGCTAAGTCACTTTCCCAAGATCACACAGGTGGTAAGCATCGGAGTCAGGATTTGAACAAAGGATCCTCTAAGTCCAAATCCAGGGCTTTTCCCACTGAATCCCACTGCCACCCAATCCTGGCATTAATGGGTGTCTGGTGCAATGCTTCACTAAATAGACTTTTGGGGCAGCTAGGTGGCACAGTGGATAGAGCACTGGCCCTGAAGTCAGGAGGACCTGAGTTCAAATCCGGCCTCAGACCAAACACTTGACACTTACTGGCTGTGTGACCCTGGGCAAGTCACTTAACCCCAATTGCCTAATTAATAAATAAATAGACACTTTCTCTTTATAGTCAATAGCATTGATAGAAGGGAGCTCAGGATCAAATTATGCTCAGCTACTATTATGGCAAAACCATTGAAGTCACTAAATAAAGGAAATGAGGCAAAGCTATAATATTACCTTGTGTTTGTATAGAGTTTGTATATTGTTATGTTTCGCAAAGCCACTCAAATACATTGAATCAATTTCTTCTCCTATTCTGCCCTGAGTTTAGGGAGCTCACTCCAGTTTCTGTTTGTTTTTCTCCCCCATAGATATGTTGGAAAAGAATATAAATCACAAAAAGGACTTTGGCACCATTTCGTTGATGTGGAGAGGCAAATGACCGCACAATACTACGTCACAGAGTTTAACAAAAGACTCTATGAGCAAAAGATCCCAACACAGATCTTTTACATCCCTTCCACAGTACTGCTGGTAAGAAATTCATGATTAATAGCGATAGGGATGGACTCCTAAGCAAAGGCCTCCCTGAAAGGATAAACAGGAGACACCATGGTATGGTAGAAGAAGCAAAGGCTCTGATCACAGGACCTGTATTCGAATCCAATTTCTGACACGTAAAATCTGTGTGACCCTAGGCGACTTACTTAATCTGCCTAGACTTCGGTTACGCCATGTGTAACTCCATCTTGGACATGGTGCTTTCTGAGTGCCTTCAATTCTAGATCCATATATAAATATAGAAGGCAGTGTGGCTTAGCCTTGGAGCCAGGAAGACCAGAGTTTAATTCCTGCCTCTGATGCAGATTGGCTGGATGACCTCAGAAAAATCATTTAACCTCTCATTACTCTCAGGCCATACATGAAACATCAGATCTTCATCTGCATTGGTCAAGATAATCCCTTCACTGGGATTTCCATAGAGTAAATTCCTTCAGGACAGAGACTGTCTTTTGCCTCTTTTTGTATCCCAAGCACTACTTGTATTTTTTATACTCAGCGCCTGGCACATAGTAGGCACTTGATAAACGTTTATTGATTGATTGGTTGGTGTGCTGGAGCTGATTCTTACCGACTCAAGACAACCAATTGTTAAGTTTTCAATGTGAGCATTTACCTCTGGAAATTGGCAAATTAAGTGCTGATTTATTGTTTGGATGATTGTCCAGTCTTAAGAAAGTGATGGAGAAACTGTTGATAATGCAAATTATACTTAAAAGTGTGTTTTGCATGTATTTTTTGGAGAGTCTATTGTTAAATATTTACCAGCACACCCCACATGTGTGTCTGTGTGTATACACACACATATATCCATACATATATATACACACATACACATATTCACAGATATGTGTGTGTATATTATACATAATATATATTATATACATGTATATTATATACATATAATATACATGTGTATTCACACAGATGTATATATATATATATATACATACATACAAATACATATACATAAACATAAACATGTGTGCCAAGACAAAGGAAGCCTGGGAGTTTCTGAGCCACTCATAGAAAATAAGCTTCCTGGGATTTGTGGACATATTCTGGTGCCAGAAGACAACAAGGAAAGGGATCTACTCTCCTGAACTGAATATAATTAAGCTGTTAGAGCCTTATCTCACTCACTGGCCTGATTAAGGAGTTACTTGTCTGGACAGAATTTTTTACCACACTGGGAATGGGTAAATTTATCCCTTTTTACATATGAGAAAACTGAGGCCCAGAGAAGTTATATGACTTTCCCAAAGTCACACAGATAAATGGCAGAGGCAGAATCCAAACCCAAACTTAAACAAGGTCGTCTTTCCATTTTAGTTTCCTGATTCCCTATTTTGTTAAGACCACTTTTTGTTGCCTTTCAGATTTTAGAGGGCAAGACCATTAAAGGATGTGTCAGTGTGGAACCTTACATTTTGGGAGAATTTGTTAAACTGTCCAATAACACGAAAGTAGCAAAAACAGAGTACAAAGCCACAGAATATGGATTGGCTTATGGACATTTTTGTTATGAGTTTTCCAACCACACAAATGTTGTGGTTGATTTACAAGGTACGTATCAATATTGGCCACTTCCATCATTTCTTAGCCAAACATAATCTTGCATACTGTGTATGTAAATGTCTGCCTGTCCACCTCTCTACATTCCTGATAATAATTATTATTTTAAAAACAGATTGCACCATTTTAGGATGTAAAATTCTTCTCCAGATTAAGACAGACAGTTTCTTTTTTCATTTTGTAAATGAGGCTCTAGTATCCTAAAAATGTTACTGCTGCTTTTAAAAGTCATGATTAAATTCAATTCAATAAACATTTATTGAGTAACCACTGCATACAAGGTGCTAGAATGTGCATAATCTCTGAGTGGCTCTGGTTCCATGTAACCCCAGATTCCACTATAAAATCATGAATCACCATAATAAATCTCTCACTAGCAGAGTTAAATGGTATTGATTCCTTGCTTATTAAATTTTCTCCAGCATTTCCTTCTTGCAGACATTTACCCTTACTGTACAGATGAGATTGTAAGATGCCTCCACAATCAAAGAGGCTGGCCAATTGATCTACAGGGCAAGTAGGTAATAGTTTTTGACAATAACCCTCATGAAAGTACCAGCCTGGTTTCTTTTTTTCCTCTTGAGGCAAAGCTGGTCCAAGCGTCTGAGTTGGTGTTTCTAAATCAATCTTCTTATTGTAACTACCTTTCAAAAGAAAGAGTGAGAGTCAAGTGAGACCTCTGTGTGACCAGGCGGAGCAATTCCAATAAGTCAGGTTATTTGGGTGGCTTTCCCGGAATGTTTTTGTTTGTGTTCTACTATGTTACATGTGTCTGTGGGGAGCATCTCACAAATAAACTGTATGGAAAACTACAACAAGCCTTAAGGCACTTGTGCCCCAAAGGTGTAGGCAGTGATGTCTGTGTCATAATCAGTAACAACTGCATCTTCGACAATATCTCCTGAATCCTTCTTTATTTTCTCATTCATATCTGTGGTAGAAGTCGTGCAACCCAGATGATGATAATGTTGATAATGATGATGATGATAAACAGTTACATAGGGTGTCCCAAAAGTCTTAGTGCAGTTTTAGCATTTTAAGGCTTAAAAATGCTTTACACATACTCATTTTCTCATTGATTTTCACAACAAGGTAGGTATTTCATTAGTAAATAAGGCTCTGGTAGCATAAAAATTTTACTACAGCTTCTAAAACTGACAGTTCAGTTCAATCGGCCTATCCCCATTGTTTAAATATGAAGAAAATGAGACTGGAGGTGAAGTAACTTACCCAAAGTCACATAGTTAGTAAGTGTCCAAGGCAGGATTTGAGTAGCACAGTAGATAGATTTCTGGGCCTGGAGTCAGGAAGATTCATCTTCTCAAATTCAAATCTGACCTCAGACATGTACTAGTTGTGTGGCCCTGGGCAAGTCACTTAACCCTATTGGCCTCAGTTCCCTCATCTGTAAAATGAGCTGAAGAAGGAAATGGCAAACCACTCCAGTATCTTTGCCAAGAAAACCCAAATGGAGTCATGAAAAGTCAGACCCAACTGAAAACTGACTGAACTCTCTTAATTCCAAGTCTCCACCTACCTACTAAAGGTAATAGTTCCAGTGAAAGATAGAGAACTAGAATTGAGTGAAATATGTTAAAGATTTAAATGCATACTTACATTTAACTCCTTTTATTACTTGCATGGATATTTTTGGTTTTGGTTTCTATAAGAATACATAGTAAAAACAAGCAAACAAGCAAACAAACATGTTAACCTGGCATTTTGTCCAAAAGAACTCTGTTGACTCCACCATATGCATTTATATTACAATGACCATTGATATTCAGAATGATGACCTAGGTGCACTCAGCAACCTTGAAGTACCTTCTGAATCATCAAAGAAACATTATATTATGCTCAAGTACAATTTCGGTGTTCCAGGAGTAAGCCTAGATTTCTTTTGTCTCATTGTGGCTTACAGATGACTTGTAGTTTTTCAATTGTTTTGGTCATGTCTGACTCTTTGTGACCTCATTTGGGGTTTTCTTGACAAAGACACTGGAGTGGTTTGCCATTTCCTTCTGCAGCTCATTTTACAGATGAAGAAACTGAGGTAAACAGGGTTAAGTGACTTGCCTAGGGTCACATAGATAGTAAGTGTCTGAGGCCAGTTTTAAACTCAGGAAAACGAGTCTTCCTGACTCCAGGCCCAGCACTCTATACACTGCACTAGCTTGCTGCCTGTAGAGATGACTATAGATTCATAAAGGCCATGGTAAGAAAATTCAATCATTGTAAGGTCATCCCAAGCTGCAAATTATGGACTTTATTGTTATAGAATCCACCTAGTCATGTTCAGAGAGGCTGACCAAAAACCTAGTGTGAATTTCTCTGAACACAGAAACCCATGAAACCATCTGATGACATCACAGATCTTTCAAGTATTAAAATAAGAATAGAGTCAGTATTCATCTTAAGTTTATTTTATTGCATTCTGGACCTTAGAGAGTTGGTAATCTATAAACCCAAATATCGAATTCCTCATTTATTCGAGAGGCAGCTAGATGGCAAAGTGGATAGAGGTAAAATCCCTGAATCCAACCTGAGCTCAAGTCCCACCCCAGACACTTACTAGCTGTGTGGCCCTGGGCAAGTCACTTACCCTTTGCCTGCCTCAGTTTCCTCATCTATAAAATGGAGATAATAATAGCATCCACCTCCCAGGGTTGTTGGGAGGATCAAATGAGATAATATTTACAAAGCATGTTGTAAACCTTAAAATGCAATATAAACATTAGATCTTATTATCAGTCTAAATGTTATAAAATGGGCCTGGGAGATTGATTGGGGTCAACTCTTAGCATAAATGAGTTCCTCCAAACACTACATTCTGTTAACATCTTGGCTATCGTAAAATTTACTAGGTATCTTTCTAAGTCAAAGGTTATTAACCTTTTTTATGTGTATCTTGGACCCCTTTGGCAGTCTGGTGAAGTCTATAGAGCTCTTCTCAAAATAATGTTGTTAAATGCATAAAATCAAATATATAAGATTACAACAGAAGCCAATTATATTGAAAGACTGTCAAAAATATTTTTAAAACAAGTTTCACATACCCCAGGTGAAGAACCCCTACTTTATATAAGTATATTCTAGAAATGTTACCATTCTACAATACTGAAATGATATTTTGTAAGAAATCTAAAACTCAAAAATTCTTTTCTTATAGGTTGGGTGACCGGTAATGGAAAAGGAGTCATCTACCTCACAGATCCCCAGATTCATTCTCTTGATCATAAAGATGTGACAACTAACTTTGGAGAAAGGGGCATTTATTATTTCTTCAACAACCAGCATGTGGAGTGTAATGAAATCTGCCATCGACTTTCTTTAACTAGACCTTCAATTGAAAAACTTAGTTAGGCACATATTCCCCTTCAACGGCAATATAAATGAAACAATAAATTAGGTCTACAAAATGAAAGTAGTCTAGGTAAAAACAAAAAAAAAATTCAGTTAACTATCTGCACATCATTAATAAGTAAATATACAGATGTTTAATTAACATTGTTTTTAAAATACATCTGAGTAATTTTTTTTTGTTTTTACCTTTTGAGATATCATGAATATATATTCTATTATTCTTGGCTCTTTCCAATTGTTGTTGTTATTATGAGAGTGCATTATTATTGAATAAGAAAGAAGGATAGGAATAGAGACCACACTTGTGGTTTCATTGTATAGGAAGCTCCCAAGTGAAGAAATTCTCTCTACAATGTACCTTCTCTTTAACTTTGAGCCTTAGAGAGTTACCCAGAACCCTGCAAGGGTAAGAAACTGGCCCAGAGCCATATAACCAGTATATGTCAGAGATTCTTCTTGGCTTCTGCTTTCTAGTCACTATACCATGTCACCTGTAGAATTTTTAACTTCCCTAAACTCAGAAAAATCTGTATTCAAAGTAAGTCCTCTGCCTTTAACCCATGTATTTGTCCTAGGTATTTTCAGATAAATGTTATTTAGTGATAATTATATCCATTCAACTCCCTGTCCCAGAATCCCTTGCTGTAAAGGCAACCTATGGTACCTACCATTAGACACCTACCAGTTATGAATCACCTCAGGGCTAAACTAGCTAACCCCAATATTCCCTGACCAAATGACTAAAACAGTCTCTAAGTGGAGCAGAAACATTTTACCCATCTAGGGGTCTCTTGGACCAAAGTCCAACCCAGATAAAAAATGAATTCCTCTAAGGAATATTATTTTCATAAACAAGTATTATAATCAAATACACACAAATAAAAGATTTTTATCAGCAATTAATGATGAAAATATTTGGAGTAAGGTGATGGGATATTTCATTGTATGGGACTTCTAAAGAATGCCCAGATGTTGTCAGATAGCAATATGACCATAATGGGTTTTGATGGTCTGTTTCTTATGGGGTTTTCTCCTCCCCCCACCCCACAACTTTTTGGGGGGGCAAGGGAGAAATAGGTCTCTATCTCACTCAGACTAGAAATGCTGCAATAACTCACAGCCTTACCCACTGCTGATTGACATGAAAGCTTTAACTTTCTTTTCTGATCTGAGTCAGTCTGACCTTCTTAAGGACCGTGGTGGCCACCAGGGTTCATTACAGTGTTAATTGGCATTAGTGCAGACACGTGATCAGCTTTTAGTCCCACCAAGTTTTATAGCTCAAGCAACCCACCAGCCTCAACCTCTGCAGTCGCAGGAATTACAGATAGGGACCACCAGGTCCATCAGCATTCTCCCTCATGAAAATGTTCATCAGCACATGTGTTTCCTGGAATAAGGTGTACTGGGGCTACATGACAACAGTTATTTTGTAGAGACCAAAATGTTGTCCCTGGCGACAGTAGTAAAGACATGTCCATATTTTCCTTGTGAGAATATGTCCACTAATCAAGTCACGGCCTAAGTTTCATTTCTCTGAAAGATGGACAATAACACTCTTCCAGGCTTTACCTTTTCCCCTGCCTGCTCCCATTCCTGGCAGACCTTCCTCCCTCCAAGGTCTTTGCTCTGTAATTCTCATCACTACTTTGGATGATTCTTCTCACCCTCACTCGGAGCATGGCAAACACTGAGAAGGTGCATAATGACTCCAAAAGATGAGTGACTCCAACCTGACCCCCTCTTTTACCATAATTTTTATCCTGTAAGATAAGGGTGCTGCTAAGTTTCTTTAGTTTCTTCTGGTTTGGACGAGACCCTCTCTGTAGGACCTGCGATCTCCTCTGCACTCTTGGTTTTAATTGAAAGTATAGGAGCAAACCAATGCAGCTAAAATTTAAAGGCAAGCCCTAAGGGAAAAAAACAAAGACAATCTTTGTAGAAGGTTTCTCTAATAAGGGTGTTCTTTCCAAGATATCTAAAATAACAAATTCAAATGTATAAGAATAAGAGCCAGTCCCTAATTAAAAAATAATCAAAGTATATGAACAGGAAGCTTTCTAAAGAAGAAATCCAGGCTTTCAACAACCAAATGAATAAAATTCTCCAAGTTAACTAAAAATTAGGGAAATACAAATTATAGCAACTCTGAGGTTCCACCTCATGCCTATCAGAAAAACAATGTGTTTTTGGCAAAGTTGACCAAAAAAGGAAAATGACAAATGTTAGTGGGATCATACAAAAACTGGTATGTTAATATGCTATTGGTAGAATTGTGAATTGGTTCAGCCATTCTAAAAGCAATTTGGAACTTTGGGGAATATCCAAAGAGTCACCAATCTGCATGATTTTTGACCCAGCTATACTACTACTGGGCTAATTCACCAAAAAGATCAAAGAAAGAGGAAAAGGACCCACAAGTACAAAAACATTTCTGAAAGCTCTTTGGCTTTGGGTAGCGGCAAAGAACTAGAAACTAAGGTGGTGCCCATAAATTGGGGAATGGATGAACAAGTTATGACATATTAATATAATGGGATATTAGCATCTCATAAGAAATGACAAAAGGAATGGTTTCAGAGAAACCTGGGAAGATTTGTATAAAGTGATGCAGAGTGTTGTGAGCAGAATCAGAAGAACAATTTATACCAGACAAACATTTTTGGAAAAATTTAAGACTGCTGATCAGCGATGAATCAGGATTCCAGACCATAGATGAAGAAGCAAACTACACACCTCCAGGCAGAAAGGCGATGAGTTCAAAGTGTAGAATGAGAAACACTCTTTTGGACACAAAGTAGAAATCTCTTTTGCTTCAATTGTGCATATTTGTGACAAGGGTTTTCTTGTTTTTTTTTCTTTTTTTCCAATGAGGGAAGGGATTGGAAAGGGGCAGAAAATAAATATTTGTTCATTGAAAAAATAAAAATGAAATGAAAGTGTCTGTATAAAATGCATAGGAGAAAAAAGAAGAGAGGCCAAAAGGAAACGCATATAAGCAAGAAAGCTTTGAAAGTTACATGTTAGATGTATTATATTAATTAAATGGGAAAGCAAGCTACATATAATAGAAATTCTCAGTTTTATGTACAATCCTTTTTATATTCTACTTTGTATGTGGAAGTGCTTATTTTATTTGGCTTCTGTTAAGTTCACAACAAAAATAAAATTTTTTAACATTTTTTTAAAAAAGAAAGTATGTTCACTGATTTTAATTGGAAAAAAATTTTTACATCAAATACCTCTTTTAAGCATATGATATCCAATCTATATAGAGAACACATATATATACAACAAGAGCTCAGAAGACTGACAAACTACTAACGCCCACATGAAGATTGTTCCAAATCATTAATAATAAGAGAAACGTAAATCAATATACCAAGTTTCCTGCCATGTAGCTAAGCCTGTTTTCCTCCCTCCCCCACAAAAGACAAGGAAACTGACCTGGAGACATGATTGGCCCAAGGGTCTAAAGCTTAGGCAGTTGTCATGGATTCTTCGTTGTCTAAGGGCATAAAAAAGGCCAGCCCATAACTTGACAGATGTCCAGGCTTACGTGTCACCAGAGTTTGCCCTGTTGACCAGACATGATTCTCCATAGAGACAAGGGGAACTATATCTACCCACACTAAGTATTGTATTCCTGTTGAATATCCTTTCCATGTAAGTAAGCTAAGTAAGGCTAAATAAACCTCATTTTGTTAATAATTAAATGTTCCACATTTAATTCTTCTCACTGGAAGCCAATCTTGAGCCCCAATATAGAATGTCTAAATCCCACTTTAAAAAAATTCTATAGTAACTTATACTTTTGATTACTCACTATATCTTGATGATTTCAAAATTCTATTTAATTCTTTATACATTTTCAGTCAGTCAGTCACCTAGCATTTATTAAATGCCTACTGTGTGCCAGGTACTGAGAAGTACTGGGGATACAAGGAGAGGCAAAAATAGTCCCTGCCCCCAACAAGCTCATAGTCTAATAGGGACCAGTTTTAAATGGATTTCCTTCTTTCTGGCACTACCCATTTTAGCTTTTTCCTAATGTCTGATTTCCATCATAAGTTCCATCTTATTCTTTCCTCTATAGTATCTTGTTGAGTGACTATAAAGCTGAGACTAAACAAAATAAAATAATTGTTTACTTCAAGCTCAGTTTTGAGCCCCTGCTAATGTTTGATATTTTAAGGCAATGTCATAATCTAAACAAGGCATTGGACCAGATGGCCTCCCAGGACCTTTCTAACTCTTAGATTCTGTGATAAAAGCAATGAATTTTAGAAATAGATGTTTTAATCTGATGAAAATTGGTTCATTTGGCAAATGCAAATCACTATTTGAATACAACTATAAAACATTCTTTATGGAAACAATGACCTAAATAATTGGAAAAATATTAATTGCTTATGGGTAGATAGACCAAGCCAATATAATAAAAATGGCAATGTTACCTATATTCATTTATTCAGGATCATACAATTCTTACTACAAAAAGACTTCTTGATAATCATAAGAAATAATAACAAAATGCATTGAAAGAAATAAAAGGTAAAAAAAAAATCTCAAAGGAAATGATTTAAAAAGTGGGAAGGAATGGATCATAGGAGTGCTAGATCTCACACTACATTACAAGCAGTAATCATCAAAAAGACTAAGTACTAGTTAAAAAATCAAGAGATCAAGTAGTGGAACAGGTTTTGTGCATGAAATACAGAAGTAAGCAAACCTGGTAGCCTAGAATTCAGTAAAGCCAAAGACTCCAACTACAGGAATAAGGACTCACTACTCCACAAAAACTACTTGGAAACCTAGAATGCATTCTTGCAGAAATTAGATGTAGACCAACACCTGACACCATATATCAAGATAAACTACAAACAGATACATGACAAATATAAAAGGTCACATCATTTAAAAGTTAGAAGAATAGGGAAGAAATTACCTTTCAGATTTATGATAGGGAAAGAGTTCATGACCAAACAAGGTGCAGAAAGGATCACAAAAGATCAAATGGATAATTTTGATTACATATAATTAAAATAGTTTTGCATAAACAAAACTAATCCAAGCATAATTAGAATGGAAATAGTTACTG